AGGGTGCTTCCCAGCCCTGGGTGTTAACGAGCAGCTCGGCCTAATTGCACACCAGGACAAGACAAGCAGGGCTTGGCCGTGCTGCCTGGGTGCCTTTTTCCTCAGCTGGACAGCACAGGAATGCCCGCAAGCCAATAACAGAGCACACTTCATCCAAAACCAACAGGCTGTGTGTGTAAAGTGTACTCCTACTATGCATCCAAATGCATGCTTGTAAAATAAGCCACCTTTCTTTCACATTCCCTGCCCTTCCTGAGCTCTAGCAGATGGACTTGATTAAAATAATGTTGCTTTGCTTGGGATACAACTATAAAAATGGATGGTTTGGAGAAGTTATAATGCAAATAAATTTTTTGCAGCGGCTTAGAAAAATCCATTAGCTAAATATTTCTACCACCTCTATTTTATAACCCATAAGGCATATTCTTACTAAGGAAACTATAAATTATTACATGAAACGCAATTACAGAACATAGAGCTTGTGATACTGATTTGTGATCAGTAAAACAGGGCAATTCATCCTTCTACGAGACAACCCAAACAATAATGGTAAAAATCTAACAGCTTTCAGCAATCGCATATTTCTCAGAGGAGTGAATAATGTTCGAGAGACTCTTCTGCAGGATCAACAGAGCCACTTAAATCAGTCTGAATCCATCTAGGAAAGCAGAAGCTTCCTCAAATCCCTTCCCGTTTTTCTGAACTCAGAGGAGTTCTCTGAGTATTGAACACTAAAGCCGTAAAAGTTTAGAGATTAGATCTCACTTTCATATAGAAAAGGGATATGGCACCATGTGTTATGAAGTCAGCTACCGATCAGATAATCTAATAAAGCCAAGATTTGGTTAATGCCACTTACCTGAACTCTGCTGGGGAGGCTCCAGGGAAGGTTTTGCAGATTCTGAACCGTGCTCACATGCATCAGCAAGGAGAGCTTTTTAAAAAAATACATTTCGAATGCACTCGAAGTATCTAATTTTTACGAATGCTTGCACAAAGCATGTTTAGGATGGATAACTTTGACTTGCTTGTAAACAAAGCTTTATTATAAACCAGAAAGTATTTTCAAGAGAAATGCAAATCCTTGCAGGGACTGATTAATGAAAAAGCAGCAGATTATGCAGGTTTTTCTCATTAAGCCAGAGCAAACCTAGACAAGATTTAAAACTTCAAAACTATACGAAGGTTTTGCCATTGGTTTTTCTTAGAGAAAACTTGCCCGGGCAAGGTGCTGAAGCTCACGGCGCTGCGCCACCTACTCTTGACCTGGTACGTGAAATCTTCTCTGACTTGGTGCTATTTGTGGAGCCCCCCCTGATGAAACGCCACGTACGCTGAGCCTGCCTTGTCAGAGATCCTTGGAAACCGTCTATTTGGAGCTTGCTCGAGTCCAAATCCGGGGAGGTTAATCCATCTGTGCTACCCATTCTTCCCAGGTCGCGCGGGACCGTGGCGGTTCCTCGTCCTAAGGCTCCCCTGACCCCGTTTGCTGCCGTGGTAAAATCACTGTTGCATTAGCGTTAAGTTTCATTAATCTGGAAACAAAACTAGCTATAATGAGGTCTAAAGATCTTTCCTCTATCTTGGCAGGTTAGTTTTTACAAAAAGATTTTTTTAATGGAATGTTTTAAACAATGGTGGAGAAAGAGGCGCTGAAAGTTGTATTTGGTAGCACAGTTTATAAATGAAAGCATATACTACACGTCATAGAAATGACTTTTTTTCATTTACTGATCCACATGAAGCTAAATGTTTGTTTTGATGATTGGCCTTTGCTCAAAAAAGGCATTAAGTCAGCAGTGGTGAATTATTTATGAGACCTACTTTAATGCGATTGTTCTCTGAGGACCTTAAAAAACAGTCTTGGGCATGGTGCTGTTTTTCATTAAGCGCTCAGACAGCACAGGAGTCAAAGATCCATGAGGCTGGTTTTCCTTCTCATCTTTGCCCACCGTGCCCGCAGGCATCGCCTCCTCCAGCCACACCAGTTTGAGGCACGGATCTCACTGGTGGTGCTGGGAAGGGTGTCCCCTCCCCTCCGATGTGTTTCATCCTGCCCCTGGCGCAGAGCCTTGCACTAAACCACAGCTCGCTGGTTCTTCAGCAGAAAGGTGAAGGCTCTGAAGGTGATGGGAAAGCCCTGTCACAGCCCCAGTATTTCTGCTAGAAGCTACTGGTTTGGCACTGGCGCTCGGCCTCCTCACCTGGCACCGGCACCGCCGCTGCTTCGTGGCAGCTAATAATTAAAATGAGCTATTACCCCGCAATGAGCTTGTTCTCTGAGCCATAACCAAGTTATAATTACTGTTGCCGAGCATAAGCACATCTGTAGAGCTGTGCACAAGTCTTCTGCATCCAGATACCGTATGCAAAACAAAACAAAAGAAGAGGTGAAAGGCAAAGAGATCCAGTGTAATTAGCACTTAAGAATTGAGAGACAAAAGGGTCCTCTGCTTCTGTCTCTTCTAAGGGAAGAAATGGGGTTTTATGCCACAGAAGCGGGGAGAATGGGGTGGAAGGGAAAGCAGAGTGACTGAAATACGTGAAATTAAATATTTTTTTTTTTATTATTATGCTGGTTTCTCTCAGGCCAAGCAGAGTTCTGACAGGCAATAATGCCGTTTTTGGTGAAAGGCTGCCAATGGCCGCACGCTGCGGTTGCAGAAATTTGGGCCCCAGGTACAATTTGACCTTTTCTCTCTGCTCTTGAAAACGTACTGCTGCGGGGCTGCCCGCTCTCCATCAGCTGCAGCTCTTGGGACAACTCAGATCAATCCCCGTCTTTGGAAGGCGGGAGGTAATAAGCGGCGGTTTCGCAGGCTCCGCTTGCCCAGTCCTGGGTGCCGGGCTCTGCTCTCTGATCTTTTTTTTTTTTTGCTTTAACATTTGTATCGACTGACTATATTTTTGCAATTTCAGTTGTTTGGCTTTGGGCTGTGCAGTACTCTTTTCCCCTCGCTTTCTGTGCATGTCGCCAGCGTTGCACGAGCATTTGGATAAAGCGCTGGAAAAACCAGGAACCTAACTGTGCACTCGGGACACTATTTGTTCCAAACAACAGTATATCATTCTTTAGAAGCACAAACGCACAATTAATTGTACTAGTTCTGTACAGATAGAACTTAAACCACTCTCAGCTGTGGGGACAAACAACCCTAAGATAATTTTGAAGAATATAACCCAACGATCAATGTTTTGCTGGAATTAGAAACTGCCAGGAAGTGGCAAAAAACTTAAATGTGCCAAATAACCTTCCCTTTTAACTTTTCGCAAGCAAGTGCAACCTAACTGTGGGACCTGCCGTGCAAAGAACAACTGCTCGTAGCTTCAAAAGGCATATTAAAAATGACAATTGAATTAAGACACAGCAACATTAAACAATGGAGTTTTTCATGCGCAAGCTGGAAGGGCTTGAGCTGCTGCAATTTTACCGTATTGTTTGAAAAATGATAGCAAATGGCAGAACCTATTTTAAAGTCAACCTTTAAAGTGACTCTTAATAAAAATACATTTTTAATGTTAATTAAGAAGATGAAGTAACTCGGACTATTCATTCTCTGGCTCCAACTGCTTGTTCGGAGGACGGCAGTTACATAATTAAAATTTAGGTTACGCTCTCTCGTGCATGTCCTTCTTTGTATATGAATTTAAAATTAAAACCACCCATTCACTGTCTGAGTGTCCATATCCAAATAAATCACTTGTCCCTCATTTGTTTTCAGGCAAGCAGGTTAAGTATAGAATAGGGGGAGATTTAGACCAAAAAGGGAGGGAGAAGGGGACAAGCGGCAGGCAGGGCAGAGAGCCACGGCGGGTTCGGGGGGTCCCTGGGGTGATGGCTGGGGGGGCACCAGCACCTCAAAGCCCCCCCAGACACCCCCGTGTTTGCCCTCGACATGTCCTTTAACCCTTTTGCAGAGATGACAGCCGAGCACCCCCAAGGACAGATCTATTTTCAGAATACCTGCCTTCCACTTTCAGAAATACCCCATTCGTTAGGGTGAACATCAGGCTCCTTTTCTCCATTTTACCGAAGATGCCACGTTCCTGTTGCACTGAACGGGGTGGGGGGATGTTAAATAATAACTCTCCTGCACAGCAGGTTTTGGAGCCTCTGACATTGAACACCTTGTTTTCTGCAGGCTAAAAATTTGGGAAAAGGCTTCAGGAAATTCTGCATCTGAAAGGAGCCGATCCAGCCTCACCTGGGCTGGGAAATTTTAGGGTAATTACTTCTGCAAAGTAATTTCCGCAAAGGTGTTTATTTTGCTCATTTATCACGTACTAACAGCGCTGGCCTTGAATCTTTACCAAGTTGCGTATGCTCCGCATCATTGTTTTTCCCCTAAAACAGGCAAGCAGAAAGCCTCACTTAAACTCACATCTCAACATCTGCACTTGAGCTAGAGCTGGAAGTGTTCAAAAGCAGCGATCCTTGGGCAACCAGGTACAGCGGGCACGGGGGGTGGGAGAGACAAAAAGAAAAAAAAAAGTCAAGAAATCAACTCTCATCTTGACTGCAGCTTACCTACGCGGGGCTGGATAACCGGCGCTGATCGGAAACGGGGACTAACACCAGACTGACCAAATTCTACTTTGCTGCCGGGCTTTAATTGCTAATTACTTGGCCTTAGAAATAGGATCCAACTCGGTGACGAGCGGGCTCTCGCAGGAGAGCTAGGTGAGGCCCCACAGCCTGTTAAGCAGAGGTGCAAAAGGCGTGTAAACTCGCCTCTAGCTGTAAAATTTTATCTGTCTCCATGGAAATCAGTGTACATATGGACGAACGTTATTAATACTCAGTTTTTCCAAGCTGTAAGTTTTATTCCTGGGTTTGGTATTTCCAGGTCTGTGCTCTGATTCCGGAGCCCTGGTTTAAGTCCTCCTCAGCAAGGCTTGGTTCCGAAGGGCTTGCAGAGCGCCCTGTTGATCTCCTCGGAGGGTAAGAATAGCGTTTCTTCTCTCATGGAAATTATCTATTTATGATTTCTCATGCACAGCTGAAAAGAGCGATTCAGCACAGCGGTAGCGACACATCAGGACAAACCCTGGAGCTGAACGACGCGATGCTCGGTCGGACCGAACGCCCTTGTGCAAGAAAAACTGCGAAGAGCTCCATGCTGCTGGGAGCAGCAACAAAGGCAATAACGGGCAGGCAGGTGCCGCGGGCTGGCTGTTAAAGGGTAATTTCTTCTACACTGTAAATATTAGAAGAAGCAACGCAGCTTGCGAGGGGGGGAAATAAGACCGGGGAAGGGACACGCTGCCCTACAGAAGAGGGGATGGGGATTTTCTTGTCCCCGGCAGCAGAACAGCATCCCCAAATCCTGCCTTGCAGCAGGGACCGGCGCAGCCCTTGGAGGAGCTGAGCTTTTTCAGGATGAGCGCTACGGTGTGCGGGGTTCGGGTGTTTTGGTGCCTAAAGCACCAGCTCAGCGCCCAAACTCCTGCCTAAATCCACGCTTGCGCTCCTGGGGGGGAAAAGTGGCAAGATCCTCGGCATTCGGGGTCACAAAGTCTGTGTGTATCCCCCCCCCCCCCTCCCCCGAATAACAAAGCGGCTCCACCAGCACCAAGAATGGGCCCAAGAGATGCTCAGCCTAAAAGTACAACCACTTACAAATCAACATTCCTATGCAAATGAACGCTTAATTAATAACTGCTTAAACACAATCTTAAAGGACCTGCTCCAGTTAGGTCCCCTCACGCCTGTTGCTTCGGGAAGTCGTGAAGAAGGTGTGAAAATTGTTTTTATTTTACCGCGTTTTAACAGAAAGTACTGAAAATGTCACCCGGTACTTTGCGGGGGGAGGACAAGGTCTCCTGCATAGTTTCAGAATTCCTCGTAGAGTTTAGCGCGTGTATTAAAACTTCAGGGCAAGCCTAATTTTATCCCAGAGCTCACTGCCGCCTTAAAGGTTAACAAAACAGATGTGCCTCGTGCCGGTGCAGATTTCTATTTTTTAAGTCCTAAGAGCCATCTGCGGGCGATTTCCTGGCAGCAGCCAGGCCCTGGCCCCCGCTGCTGCAGGGACGCGCGTTTCCCGTGAGCAGCTTTTCTCCAGGAAGGCTCCAAAGCTTGACCCCCGCCGGGCATAAGCCCTCCCGCCTTCCCTTCATGCCTCCCATCACCCGATTTAACGGATGAACCCGGCTGGGTGACGTCTCCCCCCGGCCAGCGAGCCCAGGGGGAGGGGGCTGCCTGCCCCCCGCCCGCCTCTGGGCAGACTGGTTGGGGGTTTGGTCGCATTTGGGGGGAAATAACAGCGGCTGGGCGCAGGCAGGGGGAACGCTCTCGTCTGGGCGTTCAGCAAGCTGGCGGCACGGGGGGCGGAAAGAAACGCGCAGTTTAAACGTTAAACATTCCGTTGAAACGTTGAGGCTTCCTTGGTTTCGTTTTTGAAGTTCCACCAGCACATCGGCATTTGAAAATCCTACGCTGAGGTCCTAGATTTTTTTGTGTTCACATTTGATATTTATTCCACCACGTCTGATGTTTTGCTTATTTGAGCATCTTCCCTAGTTTTTGTACCTCGTTCCGGGCCATGAGTTTATTTCCTGATGGGAGCTGGCTGCTCCTCAGCTTAAAATATTTCTATATACATTCTGAATTTACAAAGGCAAGGAAGGAAAATCAACATTGTGGAAACCATCTCCTTTAAAAGCTATTTTTTAGATGCTTTCTTCTTTACACATGTCTTGCGTAGCGCGATGCCTGTGTGGTGCAGATGCTGCTGATCTTGGTAAGCGGGGACTACTCAACATTCCAGTGTTGGAGGAGGAGATGAGCCACCTCCACGACCCTGATGCAAAAATTTTTCCCCATGCACGCTTCGGGATCCGGCTGCACGGCAGCAGCACCGGTTCCCAAAGCAGTGGTCCGCGTTGCCACACCGTCACCAGAAGGCAGCGAGACCCCTCACCTTAGGGAAATTAATTATGGTTTGAACTCCAGGCACCAGTCTGTAATTTTCCCGGGGAGCGTGGGCTGTCGGGGAAGGCGGCGGGATGCGTCCTGCCCGGGCAGCTCCACCGCTGCGGGCGAGGGGCAACGCAGCCTGATCCCTCCTCAGGTCCCCAAGCAATCCCGTGCTCCTCCGCGCTCTCCATCACGCTGGGAGAGGCCACTCCAGCATCTCTAACGCTCTCTCACATCCTCTTCCAAAAGCTCCTTTTTCCCCAAATGCTTGGGAGGCCCACCCTGCCCAACCCAAGCACGCAAGACTACAAATGAATATTGCTGAACCATCATAACATCAGCTTCTGCCCTGGCGATTGCTGCCGCATACTAAAAAATCCTTTTTTTCACATTAATTCTGGATGGAAACACCGGTTGGTGGGGTTTTAGGGGTTATTTTTAAGCCTCTCGGGACCTGCTGTTCAGCTGACTCCAGGTTCTCACATGCCAGTCCCCGAAGCAACCCATCTCCAGAATGTAAAATGAATTTGTTTTTCAAATTACATCCTCTACTTCATGAGAAACCGCTGCCAATCTGCGACTAGGCAAACCAGGATGAAGTTTGGAGGGCAGAAAAGGCGGCCAGCCCTTGGGAAAGGTTTGTCCCCTTTGCCTTCTCTTATCTTTTGCCCTTTTTTTTCTTTTCTTCCCCAAAGGTGAGTTTCCAGCCCAGCTGACACATGCCATTGGTTAGGGAGCCTGCAAATCCAGCCGGGCGAGTGGGAGCTGCTGGGTGCTCAGTGTGATGGCACCCACCTCCCCCGGGAGGTAAGAACTGCAGTGAATCAGAGCGTTAACCAGCCTGGCTCCTGCCCCTCCCCGTCACTCCCAAATGGTTATCACAGTCCATCACCTCCCAACAGCCTGGCACACCCCTGGCTGGGATGGGATCAAAATCAGAACAGTAGAGTTGCACCTTCATCAAATTCTTGTGCAGCTGCTGGAAGGTCCCAGAATGTTTCATTGTTTGAGCTGGGCCCCCGAGCAAAAACAAATGAGGAAAGTCACTTATCTCGGACCCTATAAATTGCCACTCCAAGCGAGACCCTTTGAACTCCTCGGAGCTGGGACGCCTCTCGGGTATCAAAACCCTTAAGGCGTCAGAGCTGAGGAAAGGCCAGGGCCAAGTCAACCCACTCGAGCCTCAATTATCGCCCATTGAGGAAAGCCAAGGCATTGGGAGTGTTTGCTCTAAACTCAAGGAGGGAACTTTTACTTTGAGCTAGCTTCTCTTCCTCTGCCTCTTGGTCCGTGTGGATATATACTTCATTCTACTGGATCCAAATACTTTTGTCTCGTGTGTGCGTGTTTGTATGTTTTGTGTTTGTGTATGTGCACGCATATATGTTTTAAGATACCAGATAGTAAGTTAGAGTGAATCTTGTCATCTTTGAATCTATAGATAAGTCGCTATTTTCAATTATAACATTTTCCTGAATTATTTTGTACGCATTCAAACCGGTTAACGATCAAGTGCTGTTAGTTATTAATAAATTCTGATTTGTTGTTAAATCATTGACGTGTTAATACTTTCACCCACAACAGATCCCACCTTGGCAGGCTCTGCACAGCCCTCCCAGCGGGTTCACTGCTGTCACCCACCGAGGCCCAAAGCATCGCGGGTACCCGGAGGGGAGCAGACCAGCTGCATCACAGGACCTACAATAATTAGCACTGCTGAATCAAGTGCTGAGGATTACCCTGGCTAATTAGCACCGGCAGGGCATCACACTGGTACAGCCCTACTCTGCTGGGGAATTAATAGCTTTACGTGGGGGAAGTCCTTCCTTGCACTCAGTGCTCCCAATCTCCTCATTCATCTGTGCCCAGCCCGAGCGTCTCATACAGTCGCCTCGCTCTGCCATTTGAATTTATTTTTTTCTCTTCCAAATACCAACTACTGCAAGACTCGAAAAGAAAATTTCTAAAAACCTTGGCGAGCGTCAAGTGCAAAACCAAGAAAGGGCCTCAGCCCAGCACCAAAGCCCACACAAGCCCTGGGCCAGAGCACAGAGGACAGATTCCTCTGCTTCAGCTCCACATTCCCATTATCTACCTGTGAGCGACTCCTCCAAAAGCCCAAGCGACTCGGTTTTATTGGAATAACAGTCACACAAAGCATGCCTCAAATTCGCACCAGGCATATATCCAACTGACAGCAAGCGCCGGAGAGATGCTCTAACATATGTGGTAACATCTAGTTCACAGGAAGGGAATTTGGTATAATCAAACCAAAAAGATTTATGCTCCAGGTGCTCCTGCACGCATCTGGAGAGGAGAAAGCAGCAGCAACATGAGATTGATCTAATCAGTCAGTCAGCACAGCTTGTGTGTCAAATATTTGTGAACGCTGCTAAGTGTAAATAAAAAATATTTTAAAATAATAGCAGCGAATAAGCTAAAGGCTGCCAGAAGGGGAGCTAGCTGCAGCATTTTCTCAGTTCACAAGGGGTAAACAGGTCAAACCGTGCACCGGGTCGCAGGCTCCCCGCGCCAGCGGGGCTCTGCGGGAGCAAGATCTCCAGCAAAACCGGATTTGGGGATTTGATGGGAATTATTTGTAAGCGCGCGCCGGGCATCCGAGGTCTCCCATGCTGCCCGGCTCTAAAGCCTGGCAGGTCAAAAACAGAGATTTAAAAAGCAGGTTTATTCTGGTTGTACTGTGTCCTGCAGCTCAGGATGGAAACTTGCTTTTGTGGTAACGTTAAATCACCGTCATATCCGTGGCAAACAAGGGAGTATTTGCAAGATCCATATTGGAAATGGTGGACCAGCAATTGGTCGACTTTGTCCCTTTTTTCTTCTTTTTTTTTTTCCCAAATAGAGACAAGCAATAACCCACCACAGATCCCAGCTTGTGGATTCTGTAAAATAGTATCCTTTTTTATGTAAATTCTTTTATGGGATTAGTATTTCCTATCTTCTTGGAAAATGAATATTTATAGTCTAAAACACCCCACAAATGTCTGATTTCTCAGTATAGAACAATCAGACTTTTTGAACTAGGCAGTGCTTTAGAGGGCTTTATTTTTTCTGCTTGGATCTGTTTCAACCAAGTCAAAGTCTTTTCCAGAATATGGTATTTTCTGCTCCTGGATAGTCTTCACGGTATGCTGCAAGTGTAAAATTGTAAATTTTAAATAAGTGGTAGTGGGATGTTTATTACTTTCAAGAACACAACTGACAAAACGCTCCCCAAAAAAATGCTGCGATATCCACAGGGCCAGAGCTGATGGTTCCTGATTTCACATCCCAATATCCCAGCAGAGGCAACAGGAATTGCGAGAGGTGCTCCAGAGGGGGACTCGCAGCAGAAACTGAGCTCAGCTCAGCCATGATATCCACTTTATTTTATTATTTTTTAGACAGTGGCAAGCACTGGGACTCCTTCAACAGAGATCCGGCTTTCTGGTGCGCAGCACAAATCGTTTAACTAATTATTCATTGACTGTCTAATCAATCCTGATTGAATTAACTGATAGCTGCAGCTTGAAGGGATGAAGATAAGTAGCGAGGACACAATGCAGATTGTTACAAGCATTTCCAAGCTCAGTGCCTGCAGCTTAATTCAGCTGGGAGCTTTGATTGAAACACAGCAAGATAGCAAAGGGAAAGGCCCCAGAGAAGCTGCTTTGGTATTGTCTCCAAGTACGTACTGAAAGGGACGCCCTCATCAAGGAGAACCAATAATTAGTATTTAAAGTGGGTGCACACAAACCCGGAGAAGTCACTGCTGTGCTCCTGATGGCAGGGCTGTCCCAGCAGCAATCCCTGACCCACTGGGGACGGAGCAGTGGGCCCAGTCTCTGCTCCAAGGGGCACAGAGCCCTGGCTGGAGCTTTTGGGAGCTCACGCGCAGCCGGAGGGCAGCCAGATTGGGGAGCAGGGGACAGAGAGGATGCGGGATCTCCAGGCTCCGAGACATCCAGAATTGCCTGGACAAGAGCAGAGCAGCCTGACCCAGAGGTGGGACCAGAGGCACCGAGGTGCCCGCAAACCTCAACTCACCTGTGAATCGACAGATTTATTGTCTAGTAACTCTGCACCCGCCGCGGGCCGAGGTCCAGCAGTGCCTCTGTGCCACCTCCAGCAGCTCCCACAACCTTCTGCGTCCCCACCTTGCCGAGCATCACCCTTCCTAAACGTGGCAGGAGCCAAGGACCGCTGGCCCTTTGTCCCCAGGCTCCCAGGAACGGGGATGCAAACACTGCCGAGCCCGCCCTGTGGCTTTCCAGGGCGCCAGGACTCCTGGTGCAAAGGAGTATTTTGATTATTTCCGTTCAATAAATCAGAAAAACATTTCAGGTTAAAGTTGCGTGGAGATAAGAGATTGCTTCTGCGTGTCCAGAAGGAGGGTAAGCGTTTGGGGAAAGCCCTGCTCGTGTGAAACTCGCCTCCAACCATCAGCGGTTCCAGTCGTGCCGTGTTTTATAGGTCTGCAAAAGAGCAAGCCTGCGGACACACGTGTAGGGCACCCCCTTTTTATTGTACGATTCTCCAGTCCCCCCACACGCAGCCCTGAGCCCTCGGGGGATCCGTTTGCATTAGCGATGTTTCCTGCTCGGGTTCCACATTTTTCTCGATCGTTTCATGTTTGCGGTGGACAACCCAGCGAAGAGGTGACGTGTCCCCTAACGTCATCGACAGGAGGAGCCTTAAAGCAAACGACCACCGTCTGGGATTGATCTTACTTCACTTGTTAACTAGTCACACAGATCAGCGAGGAATTTGAAGTCTCATTTCTAGCTAGGCAAAGGCTTTGTCTTATTTCTACGAGAGAAGCTGTGTAGCGTAGCCAACAAAAAAAGTTTCCGTGAAAGAACTCTAAAAAAACGTGGGAATCATTTCCCCATTTTCTGCTTACCCCAAGATCCAGCGTTGCTTTGATAGGTCGTGCTGGGATGTGGTTTGTGTCCTCATCTTCAATCCCAGGACAAGAACTCACTTTTGCAGGACTCATTTCAGCCTGGAGCAAGCAGCACTTCTGTAATTGCACTTAATTTAGTGCAATTAAGCGTGATTGACAATTTCTTTTCAGGAAAGACTGTGAACGAGGCATGATAGGAGAATAAATAACTTTTCTCACCTAGCAAAGCTGGCTTCCCCCAGGCAGGGCAGCTCATTAGCAGAACCAGGCAGGGATGATGAAGCAGAAGTCAGCTGCAGACAGACATCCCCACCCCTTCATCATCAGAAATGCAAATGTTCCCACATATAGGGCAGGACAGACGCAAAAAAAAAAAAAAAAAAAAAAAAATAAAAAATCAGAGTTTTCCATATATTTTAATTGAAGGAGATTCACCTCTAATGCCAGCCTGATGCTCAGAGCCTCAATCAGCACGTGATGGCGAGATGGATCCCTGCTCGACCCAGTATGTGGCATAAAACTACCGAAAGTTTTTCACACTGACTTGCCAAAATGGGATCTGCATGGCCAGCAAGCTCCACAAAAGCTGGTAAAGGCAACCAAATTCTCTGATTCGCTGTGGGCTGGGTACATCTGGAATGATTCAAAAGGCTCTTTGTTTTCTAATGCTTTAATTACAGTTATCCTTCTTTTTCATTTACTGCATTATTGTGCCACCATTCCCACGCTTTCCAGCACAGCTATTTTACAACCAACAAAACAGTAGCTCCAAAATGAACAACCTGCTAGGAGAGAGCAGCTATAGCAGAAGTCTCTTTCCCTAATCATCCTTTCTAACAAATCTCTGAAATCCCATGATCTTCTGAATGCATTTTGAACCTGACGGAAAGCCAGTGACGGTATTAGGATGACATCAGAATAATTCTTGCTTAAATATACTAAATTTGATTCAGTCCTCTTCCTCTCAGCTATCGTGGTGTGAGCCACCGGGAGCTAACAGACATTGAAAAAGCCCAGATTTTCCTGCCTGAGGAGAAAACGGGGCTCGGCCTCTCCGCTCCTCAGGCCAGGCTTTGCTGATGCCACCCCCAGGAAACCTTCACACCGCAGAAGGGAAAATCGCTTTCCCTCCTGAGCCTGGGAGAGGTCTTCAGGGCTGAGCAGGTCGGTCCAAGGCGTAGCAAAGCGGGATTTTTCTCAACTCCATTTTTGTATACAAACAACTTCTGCACACACAGAGTCAGTCTAATACTTTAAGTCATCACGTAAGCTTTTGTCTACAGTATTTAGAAGACCTTAGTATCTTTTAGCAAAACAGAGCAAGAATTCCCTTCTCCCTTTTTTGTGTTTTATTAAAAAAGTAGGTTCCATTTCCTCTTAAGCTATCCGCATGTTCAAATAAGGTTTCCAGAAGAGCTGATAATAAGAAGATACGCTTCCAGAGAGAGTCACAAAACGGCCTGAAAAGAAAGTTTCCACTTCAATGTGTCGTGGCCTGATGTGAGACCTTTTAGGCGTGCTAAAACACCCGCTGGGCGCAACCACAGGAGATGGGAACTCAAGAACTGTTGGTATAAGGCACAACGTCCGGGACCGACAACCCTGCAGATGCTGAGCAGCGTGCCCAAGGAGGACAGAATTCACACCAAAGCCGTTACAAACAAAACTTCCTGGGTACTTGTATGCACGGCTGCTGGAAAATGAGGTTCCCTTGGGAAGTCTAACGTCTCGGGCGCTTGGGACATCATTTGCTTCCCTTCAGCGATATTTTTAGAAGAGAACGGCGCTTTGCTTGACAAGTGTTAACCATTAAAGACTCTCTCAGGCTATTGGTGATGGAATTTATTTTCTTGTTCACTTATAAAAAATTAAGAACAACGACAACGAAAAAAAAAAAAAAAAAAGGCAATTTGGATTTAATATCTTCCTGCAGGGTATTTATTGTGCTCCAGGATCGTTGTGTGAACTGATATACAGATATATATGTGGACACGCACACGGAGCTTGCTTACCCTTACGTTCCCACCCAGGTTGTAGTAAAACAGTTACCTCCATCAGTATTTTCTACCCGACTACAAGCAGCAACACGCCGGGTCCTTTTAACACTCACATAACAGGAGAACAGCAGCTCAAAAACACAGACAAACCACTTCAATTTCCTTCTTTCACGCTTTCACTGTAGCCTGATGGAAAATAAGGAAGATCACAAAATCCTTAACTGATCTCATTTTAGGGCTAGAGCAGTGTCAGAAAGATTAAATCCTCCTGGCCACAGCTTGCGAAGAAATCCCAAACAGCGTGGAAGGTGTGAAAAATGGGTTATTAACTCCTGGTCTCGATGTAACTTCTGTTGCTGCTCCAAACGTGCTCGCCTGAATGTAAATTGGGATGCGTATAGTAAAGTGCACAGGGAATTGAGCATGAGAACTGCTGTTATTTTAATGGGCATTCTGAGCCCGATTTCCTTCCCAGCGTGCAGAAAGGTAATTGTCAGAGGTAGCACACAACTGTTACTGGATTTTTTTTCCCCCCCTCCTCTATTTAGAAGGAAAAAAAATAAGCGCTGCTCCTTTTTCCAGTCTGAGCTGCATCACCAGGACTGAGCTCCAGAGCCTGGGATGGGCTCATTCCAGAGGAAGGTTAGAAAAAAAAAAAAAATAAATAAAAAATGTTTTCCCTTATGACCCAGCCACATCAACAGACACCATACAAAAAAAGTTTCTAAGTCTGGCAGATTTTATGTATCTAATATTTTACAGGAGTTTTCCTTCACAGGACTGCTTGGGGTTCAGTGCAATGCTAGCGGTAAAATAACTGAGTATAGAGTGACATCAGCTCAGGACAGAGATGGAAAAAACAGCAATAGGCTGCAGGACAGACATGGAGGATGAAACAAAAGAAGGAGAGGGAGCAGGACAAAAGCACGGAGAGGAAGAGTGGTAGAAGAAGAGAGAGAAAGGGGGAGAAGAAGAGGGAGCAGGACAGAGGAATAGAGGAGAGGCAAAGGGAGGTGAAAAAAAAAAAATTCTCATCAGTGTGGGAAAGAGGCAGGTCAGGGGAGGGCCCAGATCTGCTTAGGATTCAGGCAGAGACATACAAAAATAGCAATGCATCCCGTTAAAAAAAAAAAAAAAAAAAAAGGAAAATGGTGTAAGGTAAGAGGTGGTAAATGTGGAGTCCATCATTAGAAGGCGCATCACAGGCAAATATCTGAAGACGCAGAATCATTTTGAGAAACCAATAATATTCCCAGTTGTCCTTGAGAGGAAAAAAAATTTTTTTTTTTTTTCTGACCTCGCTTGGCAATGGCAGCATCCACAAAAAGCCATCCTGAGAAAAGTGCATAAAGCCTTGAGCCTGAGCTGAGAATATCGGTGTTAAAGACTTCCAGAAGGTGGAAAAAAGGTACCAGCAGAGCGTGATGCCCTCGGGTGAGCAGTGAGGAGAACTGAGGACACCCCCCCGGGGTCGATGCTAAAGGCGGTACACCGCAGCACAGCCAAAGCGGCTGTCTCTTCCAATCTGGGCTTTAAAGCATTTCTCTGCAGGACTGAAGTGTGATTTTACGGGGCTCGTACGAACACCCCTGTCACACCCGCTCGCTGAAGGCAGCCCCCACGAAGACGTTTGCTCTCGGGCCTGTTTAAATCTGACTTTGCAGGACTTCGATACCTGGCACCGCGTGACAGAAAAGCTCCCTACGCATCCCCCAAACAGCCTACAGAAATACAGAGAGGGGGGAAAGAAAGAAAACAACACACCGCCCTCGGTGGTATTATAGAGCTCTAAAGAAGCTGTAAACTTTAAAAAAAAGCGATTAGTGACCAGAAAGGACACGGGGTTCGGAGGGGCTGGAGGTGGGGGGGGGGGCAGGTCCAGGCCACGGGCGCTGCCAGGCATTTCCAGTTTCTCCCATCCATTCCTCTTCAATATTAACTCAGTCAGAAAGAGCTGGGAGAGCGGTCTGGATTCATGTGAAACCCGAGAGCCCAACTGCTGTTTTTCCCACTTCCATTTGGATTTGGGGTGCGGGGTGACGGGGATGTCGGGGAGCCCTCGGGCTGCAGCACCATCAACGCCACCGTGGCCGGGCAGAAGTGGCCGTGACGCTGTCAGCCTGCACTCACTCCTCTTACCTGCCCCGTTGGACACACTTTCATCAGCCTTATGAAAATATGCTCCACAAGTGCTTTTATCTTTTTAAATTGAGAGGAAAAAATATACATCTGAATACTACAGTGCCAATACAAAATATACATCTGAATACTGCAGTGCCAATAAAAAATATACATCTGAATACTACAGTACCAATAAAAAATATACATCTGAATACTACAGTGCCAATAAGAAATCTCTCGTAGCAAAATCTTTCCCCCTCTAACTTCATACTACTCAGTCCAAATATTTGTCTCTTTTCCTGAAAATTTCTCTAGTACCGGTATCATACACAATTATGAAAGCTTTTTTTCCTGACAACCAGATCACTTCAGCATCATGATTTTCACTCAGTAGTACTCACGTGACTGATAATTAGATAGCAAATCTAATATTGTCCAAAACACTTAAAGGTCAGGCATGAAATGCTGTGTGATTAAGTAAATATAAGAGAAATTGATTACTCTTTTGTCCTACACTATTGATTACAGGGTGTTATATGGCATTTTTGTTGTCTGGCACTGTCTTTAGAGGAAAAGCACAGAAGGTTTGCTAAGTAATTCTGCCATTAAAATACTTTAAAAAAAAAAAAAAAACCAACACAAAAAATAAAAACCCAAACAGTTCATGCTGCCATCACAGACTACTAAAAGAAAAATATTTGTAATCAATAAACTGAGATAAGTTACAAGAGCAAATGCACCAGCACAGGGTTCTGGTTTGCTCTGTAGCGGGCAAGGGCGTCGTGCGGACCCAGGGGGGCTGGAAGCGCGTGGTGGGAGGGGACGAGCCGCGGTGCTGGGGAGGGTGCTGAGCACCCCCGGGGTCCCCAGCACATCAACCTCCCGGCGTCACCCACCGATGCTCGAGGCACGGCGGGCACCCAGGATTTCCCTCCGCAGGCTCGGTCAGCTCGAGGCTTCGGCAACAGAATTTAAAAGGCTGTAAATACCAGGACAGAGCTGAGCTGCAGGCTGGCACGCGGAGCGGGCATCCGGCAAAGCAAGGGCTTCGGGAACAAGCTATATTCCCCCTCTGCTTTTTGGCTGGTTATGACAAGAATAATAAATATTATCTGGGGACAAATCCACTAGGAAAAGAATCCCCAAGCGGTACACAGAGAAAGTAAGAGAGTTGCAAAGACCTTCAGTACAGGTATGTTCAGAAGCAGCTCTGGTCCCCATCTCAGCCAATTCCTTTTTATAGCTATTTCTTACTTTATGTTGACAAGTTTATTGTAAGAGCATGGAAGAAAACACTGTTATGCTTTTATATTTCTTGCACATACACACGAATCAAGAATCCCTGTAAAAGGACATTTCTATTGCATAATTTTTATTTTTTTTTTTTTTTTGGAAGTTCTTCATCACAAAGCGATAGGTTCAAGGCTGCTCGAAGGCAGGATTCTTATTTAGAGGCAAGCCTGGAGTCACACAGCTCGTTCCCAAATCCTACCAGGTTCAGAGCAGTTCAGAAGTGACATTTTGATCTCGTTGGCAGTTGAGTGGGGGCTGGCTGTGCTTCATCGGCAACTCAGGGGGGTCCCACGCAGCTGCAAGGAGCCGACACAAAACCTTCTGCATGACCCACAGTCCCCGGGGGGGGGGGTGGAGAGGACAGGCACTGCTCAAACGCAGAGGTCCCCCCCATTTTGGAGGGGAGCTAGTATCCAGCAGGAAAAACAATTTGGCAAGTTTTAGAGGAAAGGGAAGGTCGGGTCAGGCATCTTCACAGCCACGTTGAGGAGGAAGCCGCTGCCCCCATCAGTCACCGCCGACCGGCTGTGCCCGCGAGCCAACCCGGCAGGCGTTTGCCACGTAAAACTAATTTTCAGATACAATCCCGTTGCCCAGGCAGAGGCCCAGGGCGGGAGCTGGGGACACGGGACAACTGGGGAAGGCAGATGCCCCTCCTGCCCTTTTATACACCATAAAGGCTCTGGAGCTAACACGGCACGACCGAGTTACCGCTCTTCTGGGAGCTGTAATCGCGGGCGGCGGCGATGCACTGAAGGGTTTGACCCGTGAAATTCTCTCTTTTTCTCACTCCCCCCCAACACGCTGTCAGGAAGCCGTTTGTCCCATGCAGCACCCAGAGGTGGGGGGTGAGCCCTACCCCGTCGTTCTTGTCTGCGACTGCTTCAGGCTTGTGTTGAGCTCCGGGCAAGGCACCCACGTCAACCAGAACCCGCGTGAGTTTGTCATATTCTGGTAACAGAAAGGACCAAAGGAAACGTGCTGTGCCAGACCTGGCAGGGGAGCAGCCGGCCAACACGTCAAGTTTTATCTCAATTTTCCCTTCTGCAGCTACTTTGCTATTCCTTGTCTTTGAGGCCGAGCTTTTGGGGGATGATTGCTTCCTCTAAAGGGATCGGCGCATCGCTAACAGGAGTCACGCACTGGGCTAATATCCAGCGTATTTGTTCAAGGTGTTAAATCATGGTGGGTGACAGTCCTGCCGCGCACACGAGACGCGGGCTGTGCGGGAGGGTTGTGGCAATGCAAGGGGCCGTGCCACGGGGCCGCCTGGCTCCAGACACGGGCAGGACCCCCCTTGGACATGAGCACCCACCAACACGCTTCGAGGCGGACCCCGTGGCACAGACGGCACGATCTGGCCTGAGCGACGCGGCTTCTCTTTGCCAAATTCACCCCGGGACTGGCCCTAGCTCTGGGGTGCAGCTAAGCATCAGCCTTTGGGTGTCAGGGGCTCCACGGCAAAGCCACCCACCCACCCACCCGGGGCAGAACCCCCGGGGCCTGGCCGTGCTGGTCCCAGTCTCACCCGAGGGAACGTGCCGTGTGTGAGCAAGCTTTAAAAGCTTCAGACACTGCCCAACCCTGCTCAGATGGCACCTGGGCAAGCCTTTGCCTTCTTCCTGCTGCAAAAAACCTTACGGCGAGGCAGGCTCGGGCAGGAGGGGACCCCTTTATTTCAGGGTGGCCGGGTCTCACCAATGCTATCAGGGAAAAAACACTGCCAGGAGGGGAAGGTGAAAGGAGCAGCCACGCTTCCCACACCCGTCACACAACACCTTAATACAAATTTTGCACTCCCGAGGGTTAAACTTGGCCTTGGGACCCAGCCTGGACCCTGGGCTGAAGTGCCCGGTGAAATCAGCTCTGTTCCAAGGAAGCCCTGGCTGGCTCGACCATGCTGCTGCCCCAGTAACCCCCCAGCCAGCCCCCCCGTCACCCCCCCCAGCCAGCCCCCCCGTCACCCCCCGCTGCCCAGAGGGAGGAGGGACACACCATTCCTGGCTTTCAGTGGCAGCTGGAAGAAAGGGCAAGCTAGTAGAAAAATGCATTTTCACTCCTGGAGCAAACATCGCCAAATCTGTCCACGACCAGGACTGCACCACATTAAAGTGAGAACAATAAATGACAACTAGTTCCAGAAATTTTTTTCTTTTTATATTTAGACACGCAAAGAAATGCTTTTATTGCCCTATAAGCCTACTGGGATGGTATGAAGTGCTTTCCAAGACTGATTAAAAATTCTATTTTTTAAAATCAAGGATTAACAACAACTCATTAAGCTGTATTAAAGCACTCAGAAGCTGCGATTTTGCTCCTTGGATAATTGAACAGTTTCTGTCCATTGTGCTGCCTGCCTGGGTGACAGTTTAATTTTTGCCTTGCTCTGAGGCGGGGTTGATGGGTGGCTCAGCCCATCTCTCACCACCAGCTGATCCTCTACAGGGAAGATGCTTTCTCTTCAACAAGAACAACAACAAAAAAAAAAAGTGTATTTCTAGTCCTTCGAAAGATGCTTCATGTTAAGCAACCAATAGAGTTGAAGAACAATTGTCACTGCCTTTTTCCTTCTGCACTTTGTGGGAAATCCCTGCTCCCATCACCAAGCCGAGGCCAACTCTGCTGCCAAGCAAGGGGGGAGGCTGACGAGGAGGAGGAGGATTCATGGTGCTGCCCCTTCCTCCCACCGACAGCAGCGGGGACGGTTTGGGACGTTCCTTTTGACAATGAGAGGCTTAATTTTAACAACTTCTGGGCTCCTTCCTTGTTTTCCTGCAGTTGGTTTTACTTCTAGCAGCCCCACCCAACACGCTGTGTCCCGGGGGCTGCTGCAAAGGCCAGTTCTGAATTACGCAGGGACATGAAATATATGGAAATTTATAGTGGGTTTTTTCTTCCCAAACCCTAATTTCTTCCACAAATAACCAACTGGAAGAAGTAGATACACAGTGAAATGAATATGCACTTCTGTTATGATTCTCTTATTTCAAGACAGCTAAGGCATTGCAATTTTAATTGGATATTTTCATTAAAAAAGTGTTTATATGTTCTTTCTGAAGAAAGAGATTTTTAGTCCACTAACAAGAGTAGCTTTTATTAAACACAACCACGGACCCTACACGCAGAATTACCACTAACCGTATGATGAATAGATGTTAAGAATTGTTACTAAAAAGGTGAAATTTGCTTCCTCACATCTCACTGCCACCTTTGGGGCAGCTGAAATGAGCAAGTTTAAGAGGAAGAGCCTCTCTCCATCAGACAGTAAAAAAAAAAAAAAAAAAAAAAAAAATAGAAAAAAGATGTTGGATGTCTCTATGTTAGAGCTATTTAGAGAGGTGGGGAAGTAAATGCAAAGCTGACCCGTTGCCCACCCCGAGGGTCTCCTCAGCCCATC